AAATTACCTCTAGGTCGACGCTGTCAAAGTCCTTCTCAAAGTCGATGAAGTTGAGGTAGAGTTGACTGACATTCTATACTCTGTTCTATGATGATGCGTAGCGTGGCGTTGCAATTTGGTCCACACATGATCTATACCCCCTGAGTCCAGCCAGCCTGTTCCGGTAGTAGTTTTGAATCCAGAGCATCTTTTAGTCTCTCCAGTAGGAAGCGGTGTAATATTTTGCTTGGGGTGGAGAGGAGAGTGATTCCGTGCCAGTTCTTGCAAACACTGAGGTCTCCCTTCTTCGGGAGTTTGGCAAGGTAGCCCTTCTTCCAGTTAATGGGCAGGTACCTTCCCTTCCTTCCACACCTGAAATAGTGGTGTGAGCATGGCCGCTGTTGTCTCTGCATCTGTTTTCAGTGCTTCTGGCGGTATTCCATCTGGTCCTGCTGCTTTCCCGCATTTCAGTAGCTTTATGACGTTCAGGTTTTCCACTTTTGTTGGAGGATTTTGTTCACTGATAGTTGTGTGGCTGGGCTGCAGGTGGTATTTCTGAACGAAGAGCAGGCGGTGGTAGTGGTCGATTCGAGAGCTTTTTGAAGTGGTCGACCCATTGTTTCCTTTGTCTCTCTTTTTTTGTAATTAAATTTCCTTCATCATCTTTTGTTGGTTTCGTCTGCGTTGATCTCTTCCCAGATAGTAACCTGGTTATTTGGTACAATGTCGTCAGGTCTCTCTTACCTGCAGCCTGTTCTGCTTCACTTGCCAGTGTTTCTTGGACGTGTCTCTTGTCTTTCCGTGCACTCTTCTTCACTTCTTTGTCCAGCGCAGTGTTTTATACATTGTGCTCAGTTCCTCTTCTTGTTGTGCATCCTTGCACTGGTTTATCTTCTGCTTCACCATCCTCCCCTCTCTCCTCTATCTGCCTCCGTGTGTCCGTTGAGATCTGTTCCTTCGTCTTCCTTCCTAATACGGTAACGCAGGTTTCCTTCCACATAGCTTTCAGAGACTCCCAGTGTTCTTCCACACAGGTTTCTTCAGGGATGTTCCTCGATATCTCCCATTTTGTCTTGATGGTTGACGTGAAGAGATTTCCTTTGTAGTCTCATCCTTCAGTTTCCGAGTGTTGTACTTGAACTCCGGTCTATCACCAGCTTCCTTGAAGACTTTTAACTTGATTTGGAAAGTTCCTTGCACTAGATAGTGGCCTGAACCTACATCTGCTCCTCTTCTTGACCCTGTGTCAAGTAGGTTGCGCCTCCACCTTCTTCACATTGAGATAAAGTTGATTTGATTTTTAGTGTGTCCATCAGGTGAAATCCATATCGCTTTGTGGATATTCTTGTGCCTGAACACACTGCCTGACTCTAATCACCAAATCGTTGAACGCACAGAATTCTCCAAACAATTCTCCATTCTCCCTCATCACCTCACTGAGCGCTTCCCGACCCATGGTTGGTTCTCTTCCTGTGTTGTCTGTTCCCTTTTTGGCATTCATGTCGCCCATTAGAATTTTGATATCGCCAACTGCATTCCTGTCCACTGCTGACCGCAGTTGTCTGTAGAATTCTTCCTTCTTCTATTCATCCGCATTATTCATAGGTGTATAGCATTGTTTGACTGCGACCTTCCTTCCTTTTGAGTTGAACCTTGCTGTTTTGATCCTGGAGGAGGTTGGTTCCCACCGTATGAGAGCCTTCGATGCTCTTGGGGACATCATGATAGTTACCCCATAACTCAGTGTGCTCGTGGTTGTCGTCTGTATGACAATATCGGAGTAGATTATTGATTCTCCAGTTGACAGTTTGGAGAGTCCACTTCCATTCCATGTCCCCACGTTTGCTTCTGCTTTCATCGAGAGAAGAGAAGGTACATCGGCCAATTGGCCTGCCGAGGGCTTTCACCAACTGGCGTCATTTCGCCTCTCCGATTCCAGTGAGGAATAATTTTGTTATTATTTTTTATATTTTGTTTGTGTTTTGAAGTTTCTTTAGTGGTTAGATTTGTTTTACGGTGTAGGGTTGCTAGCCCTATGCCCAACCTTCCCTCTTTATTCGGGCTTATGACCTGCCAGTAACTAGTGAACTAGTTAACCAGGCGATCTCTCTTGTGCAATAGGAAAAATAATTTCCCTCGACAATCGTTTGCTTGAATCCACTACCAAACCTGTCTGCTGGTCTCATAGATCTCTAGGGTATCAAATTTCCTCATCTATATTTCACACCAAAATTGACCAATTGCAATCTTAAATCGCACTAAATGCCCATGCGAACGCTTAAAAATATATCAACCTATCTGTATTAACAAGTGTAATGAAAGAACAACATCAAAATGGATAGCGGCATGCTTTAAAGGGAACAAAACTGCATCAGGTGACACTAACGGAAATACACAGCCCGAACTGCAGATCCTAACCGCGTAGGGTGGACTAGATACAGCGCCTACTATGTTATAATGTTATTCAGAATGTTGGTGTGAGACAAGCCATAAGATGATATTTTTTTCTCTTTGAATAGCTCCCAAATATTTCACTGGGATCGGTTTACTTCCATTAAGAACTGCAGAGGACTGTGGCTATCTTTAACAACACTCAGTGGTGCTCATCAAATCATGTTCGCGGAATTAGCCGCTCCTACATGTGTGGTTCTTTGCCCATATTCTGCGGTTATTTCAATTGCTGTGAATGTAGCCTCCTGTGTTCTTTTGGTCACAGCAACGTAGTCAGTATTCAACTCGGTTAGATGCCCCATTAGTCTTGGTTTTCGTAAATGAACCTGGGGTATATGTGAAACTCGGAAGCGTGCACCACTGCCGAACTCATCACTGTATCATACGTGTTGTGCTAAAATATATGGCAAACTGCAGACAAAAACCTTCATGCAACTGTGTAAGAAGACATAATACAGGGGTTTTACACGTGAAAGCATACTCAAACTCAGACACATGTTACAAATTCCAGAAAAGGACACATTTGAAAATCATGCTTTGGATGACATAATCGATGCTGCCATATGCTATCTTAAATTCCGCCTTAATATTTTCTGTCAAGCTGATACATCCAGTAGTCCGTGGTCAGATCTCAGAAACACCCACTTCTGATTTCAAAGTGGTTCACAACCTGAATCTTTGACCAACATGGCTTTGATGTCCAGGATTACTGTAACCTAATATTATGTGTTGTACAAACTCTCCCATGTAGAGGCGTATTCCGTTAAACGACCAGATTTTAAAGTATTTTTGTTCCCACTCATATGAATAGACCAAAACGGGAAAAATAGTCATCAGAAGAAGAGGCCCAGCGTACAGATAAGGCGATAATTGCAACCAATTTCCCCACTGTTCTCTCCTCGCTTACCTTAGCTTACAGTCGCTTGACTCCGCCTCTGTCTGCGATCATCGAGTACAACAAGTTGGGGATGCGTAACCTAACTTCTGGGTGGGGGATGCTAGGCTCGACAACCGGCTCAGATGACACGGAAAGAAGACAAGTTCGGACTGAGGACACTGGACCGAACTGAGTGCACTACAAGACGACTCGAAAACACTGGAGGGATGGGCAACGAATGACGAACCGGCATTTAATGTGGATAAATGCCTGTCCACATTTTTCCGCACTCCTGATCCACAGAAAGTATCCTTATTCCTCTGACGTCCCATCTACTTCATGCGGCGGCAGGAAAAGACCTGAGTTTAATGGTAACGGAGAAGCTGGGCATCAGTTTCAATTACCCAGGAGATGCCCAAAAAGCATATGGTGTACTACACTTCGTGCACAGATAACTAGGTGCCCCAACCCCACAGCTCTATTTGAAACTCTACAAGACTTACACACGACCCCACTTGGAAGTCCAAAACCTCTTCACTCCATCACAACCGAAAAAAGGCATGAACCTATTGGAGAAGGTTCAGAGGCGAGCAGAAAAGTGGTTGTTGGGATGCGACAAAAACCATATGAGGATAGACTGAAAGACCTTCACCTGTGCGCCTTTAGTTGTTGAAGGTTATGTGGTGACCCTCTGATGGCTTATAAAATACTGAATAACACAAGTCACCCGAACAAAGGGACACAATCGATTGGCTACCATGGTGGTCCTCGTAGAAACCCCAAGAGAATTGCCTACCAGAGGTCAAAAACTAATGTGCATTCACACTTCTCCTTTCGAGGCCGCAGGTACCGTAATGCATTAATAGCAGGGATAGTCACTGCCTCATCTGCTGAAAGTTTTAAGAAAAGGCTGGAGAGTCACGCAGAGACTCACAATCTACTCGCATGTAGTTGGAATATAAGCTAAAGACGAGAAATGGACTGCTGTTGCACCATTCCAACTAGGCTACATCTACACCAGTTTTCTTGCTACTGTAACCGTTCAAGCCTTTTTCACCCTTTTCACTCTCTGTGAATTAGCCCCACCTAGCTAAGTCCTTCATATCTTTGCAACCACCGCGTTTTACTTGGGTGTAAGTAGATTACTGCATTAGTCCACTTTTATTTTCCCTTTGACCCATACGGATTTGCCTTCTTAGGTTTTCTCTCCACCATTTCTAGCTGTCTCTGACGACCAGTGCGAAAAACTTTCTGGCAACTTAGCATCTGAAGAACACAAGTGCACCACAGTCCAAGGCAAAGTAACCGACACCAAACCTCCTGTTCAGTATGCCAAAACTTCAGCAGACCAGTGGCTGGATCTACTGCATCGGAATCCGCTAACGACCTGGAACCATTCAGCAAGACCGAGAAGCGAGCAAGAAGAAATCAACCGGTCTACACGAGATCATTGAACAGCTATTGGACATTGGGACCTTGCACAATTTTAGTGCAAGGTTAGGAATGTCTACTTTCTTCTACATGGCAACAAGAAGTCCAAAATTTGAACGGCAATAAAAAAGTGAAAAATACACTGTTAGATAATCTGTTTGCATTTTGCGTTCATGTCGTACTAATTTCCTGAGGTCCATATTTCGTTTCATCACACCAGTCACAAGTAGTACTGTGATTACCGGGCTTTTTGGTTTCAGCTATGGATGTTGCCCAAACCCAAGTTCGAACTGTGAGAGTAGTTGATGTTGTTGCAGAGGAGTGTCAAAGGCTGTTTCATCACTTTCTGGAGACGTAATATAAAGTGCTTCCGATGACCTTTTTAGTTTCAAAGAGAATGATGTACTAAAGTATGTTGAGGCTGCCAATGCACTGAAGCAGCTAGAAAAGAATACATTATCTGTGAACTTTACGGATATTATAGTTTCTGACACTAAGTTATCTGGATTGATACAAGACGAATTCTATCGGTAACATCTAGCTATATTTAATTTCTGCAGACTGTATCCATCTCTCTGCGCAGCTACGAAGAATTTTGTAAATGACCACGTCCCAGACACTCAAAACTCAGGAAGAGATTTCTATGTCAGTTTTACTGATGTCCCCAGCTTGCACAGGTTTGTCAGTTTCCTCAGCACTTACATTTTCAGAATGCGAGACCTCACAGCAAGCCAACTTGGAAGGCTGATTAAAGTACGTGCTCAGGTAGTGCGGGCTCATCCCGTTCATCCTGAGCTGTTAATGGGTACCTTCCGCTGCTCGGAATGTAGGATTGTAATAAGGAATGTAGAGCAACCTTTTAAATACACTCAGGTACTTTTTCGTATACTAGTAATTGGAATAGCCTACTGTGTGTTTTAATCCGCAATGTGGGAACCGTCTCAAGTTTGAGCTGTTGACAAATGAATCGAAGTTTGTTGACTTTCAGAAGGTCCGCGTGCAGGAAACCCAATCTGAATTACCTCGAGGGAGTATCCCACGCAGGTAAGATGATAAAGAATTTCTTCCCACTAAGTGGAACCTTGCACTACTAGTCAGATTCATTAGTTTGATATTTCTATTTGGCAGCTTTCCGGAAGTAGCAAAATACTCACCTTCAAGCAGCAGTTGCTACTCTGGGTCTTGTGTATGGGTCTTCATTTGTTGCATCCTGTCCTACCGCGTATGACGAGAGGTAATGATATCTCACATTGTTTCTCATTGTCACACTTGGTAAGGTAAACATGAATGACTAAATAATCTAGGAGGCAATTATCTGTGGGCATCAGGTAAATAAAGCTGTCATACACTTAGTTCCCTTTGACAGATTTGAATAATACAAGAACAAAGATATTACTGAACCACCATATGCAGGTTTGGATATTAGGTTATGAGCAACATCTGTTGCGAAGGTCTGTGATACCACCTGACTACATAGGTCTTGTTAAATGAGTAGTAGAAAGTCAGATGTCTAGACCACTCAGCTATAGTTCCCCAAATGGGTGTAAATTAAAGAGGTTAGTACTCGGTCGTTTTTTAACTACTTAGAATAGCGAGGCTAGTTAAGTAGTATACTACCGTACGTATTTTAGATACTTTGTTCTCACGCTGTTTTCACTGCTGCAGTTCGTGATGATAGATATTTTTGTGGGGTCCGCTGTCATTTAATTATCCACGCTACATTTCGATATTTTTCGTACTACCAATCCAGGCAATGTCTCTCACTGAAAGGTGTGCCGAGCACATCAGCTTATTGAAAGCTCTCTACTCGAACGCTTGTGGGCGTGTTAAAGCCTATGGTGAGATGTGCGGGGAGCTGTATTCGTCGAGGCTGCTCACTCTCCATTCTTATTCAATCTTATCATAGATATTCTTATGGAGGTCTCCATCTCGTCACAGAGGTTGACCTAATCGCGGAAGAGTTTTTGTTAAACCTAGAATACGCAGATGACATAGTTCTGTTAGGTGAAAACGCTGACAAAATGCAGTCTTCTGAACACTGAGCGGCAATGTGAGAATGTTTGGGATGCGTTTCTCACCACCGAAATGCAAATTGTTGCTCCTGGTTTTCAACAGTGCCACGGCTAACAGTAGAGTGTGGTGGGTGAGTGTGTTGACCACTTCACTTACCTGGGAATTAGGATCAGCCCAAGTGACCGACGAAATTTCTGCACGGATACAAAAGGCTCGACTGGCTTTTGGCAACTTACGTCACCTGTGGCGCCGCCATGATATCCGATTGTCTATTAAGGGTCGCGTGTACTGCACAGCAGTCCGCTCTGTTCTACTGTATGGCTGTGAAACATGGCCATTGAAAGTGGAAGATATAAAAAGGCTTCAAGTGTTTGACCACCGTTGCCCTTGTAGTATAAACCGTATTCCGTGGTGTCACCAAGTGAGTAATGCAGAAGTTAGGTGTAGGGTGTTAGGGAGAAGAGGTAAAGTCAGTTGATGGGGTTATGAACCTTCGTTGACTGAGATGGTTGGGACACCGATTGCCTCGTCACACAATGTTGGCCGAGGTAGGTCCAGGCTGGAAAAAGGCCCGAGGAGGCCGGACTAAAACATGGCATCAATGTATGAAGTCTCTGACTGTTGGTTTGAGCCACGCGGGGCGATGCAGACTAGGCGGTTGGGGTATATGGGACAAGAGAAACCAGTGGTTGGGGACTTTATACGATCATATGGCTGAGAATCGATTTCACTGAAGCAGATGTATACACACATTATCCTCTTCTTAAGGCTATCTCGAATCTAACCATTATCTCATCCTTCCTTTCTCTCTTTTAGTACTTTATATTTCTTTTGACTGAATTTTCTTTTCTTCGTCCTCCACTTCACTGCCTTCTTACTTGATATATTGACATGAGCTGTGGCAACTTGCGCCGTTACGCAGTAATGCCTGGTCCTATGTTGAAAGATGATGTTTTGTTTGGTAAACATACAACCAACGAATCTTTTATGGTTAAACAAATGACTCCTATAAGTCTTACCCTGAAAATTTGATCACATAACTGGTACCAAGATATAGTTTGGCAGGATGTATGGTGTTTATGATGATAGAAATCTTTGGGTAGGGTGTCGGGAATACAAATATTATGACAAAAAAGCATCAGTCTTCAATAGCAGAGATAATACCACTTGATCTGGTAAGGAGTTCCAATCGTTGACCATTATACGGGGAGCGTAAACTCACGTTAGTTTGATTCAACTATGGTTTTCGAATTTTATCAGAGCGGTCTCTTTGATCGATGCTTGAGGGAAAGAATGAATATAGCATTAATCTCAAACTTATTGCTAAGGGTATGCACTGTTAATGTCAGGTCCCATCTGCGATAAGACAATTGGGAAAAAGATATAGGTTTTCACTGGTCCACGGACAGACCAACCAGCAACTTATTACCAATCTTCAATGCATTAGCATCCTTTATGAAGCAATGACTGGTCGCTTGAATGCAATATTCGAGATGGGGTCGCACAAAGCGGGTTACAATATCTGCAACACGTCTTCATCCAAGTACTTGAATGCTCTGTGGAGAGACCACAATACCCGAAACCATTGTGCTGCAGCTTCTGTGTAGTGTGCAGACTCAAGTCTAACATATTAGAATTCAGGCACTGTTGACTGTTATAACCAATATGCGTAACTGCTCACTTACTAGAATTGATCCCTAAACACCAATGGTTGGATCATTTGATTAGTTCATTTAAGCCCACTCGTAGTGCACATCTTTCGTCATAGGCAAATAACACCGGTGACTGAATTGTATCCAGAAGTTCGTTGACATAAGGCAGAAAAAGGAGAGGAACCAAGATTGTTCGTTAAGGAACTCCTCTCCTTACAGGTTGCCACTAAGATAATGTTTCACTAACTCATCCTTTGTTTCCTGTTGCACAGTCTCTTTAATCCAGGCGTGCATTGTAGTGTGGGACCTGAAAATGGAAAGGTTCTTCATTATTCCGACATGCATCACCCTTTCGAAAGCTTCCCTGAAATCAGTGAACACAACATCTATAAGCGTCTTGTCACCAGCTGCTACCTATTTCTCTCTTGCTATGAAGGGGTTAAACAAGGCCGACCAGCGCAAAGCCCAAGTAGCAGTGTGAGAAGACTGTGGTTTTCGACATGGTTGAGTACTCTATCTTGACTATTTTAATAGTTAAGCCAACGGAGCGTTAATTCGACACCTGTTGCCCGCCTTGAAAACTGGGTTGGTCTCTCGGAAGCCGAGTCTGGCAGGGACATATTGAGTAGTTCCTAAAACGACCTGGCAGTAATTTCTGCAAGCCATCAGGTCCAGGGAACTTTCCAGGCTTAAGGTTGCTCACTAATCGAAAAACTACCCCTCCTGTGATATGCGGTGAGCCAATTGGCAGGAATGCTGGCCAGAGCAATATCATTTCCGTCTGTTGAAAAGACTGCACTGAAGTAGTCAGAGAGAGACATTCAGTTCTGAACAAATTCGACTCAGTCAGCTTCTAAATCCTTAGCTGGTAAAAGAGTTGGCACTCCATCTTTTTCTTTCTCCTTTTAGTGAGAGCAACTATTTTGGAGATCTGACAGTCAATCATGGGTTACTTTTCGTATTTTATTCTAGACCTCGCAATACTTGATTTACACATGTTCTTAACCTTGCAACACGAAGTCTTAGAGACCTCACTACCTTCTAAAAATAAATTCCGTAGTCGTTTCCTCTTGCCCCAAAGTCTCAATATATCCAACCCACAGAGGTAAGCAAGAATGCCTAGGAGACGCTGACTATGGAATCCCGACCGATAGCTGCTACCTTGACGTAGTGGTCGGGCTTGCATATCAAAATGACCCAACGAGCTATGCTGGTGGAACTCTTGTTGCCTCGACGTCGTACCAAGCCAGAAAAGTCTGTTAGGTAGTGGTAAGACGAAAATAAGACCGTTGCAGTGTAAATTATTACAGTATGGTGGGGGTCTGAGAGTGAAGTATTGCTGTTAGCTGGATGGGGTATGACAGCAGTGAGGGGTTTCCCTCAGATAACCAGCAGTGCTGATGCTGATTTCTCAACGTGAGGGAGATTTGGAAAAGGTCGGCCCCCAAAATAACCTACTACCATGCTCCATGGTTTAACAGCGCCGGTGGTATGGGTACTCTCTGTACGGGGTTAAAACAACCAAACCTCGAAACAGCAACCCACAAAAGCCTGTATGACAGGCCTTAAACAGATGTCCCATGGGCTCTGCGGTACCTTAAGAAGAACTAGTCTTCTCTCTATCACTAATGTCTTACTCAGACTGTATGCACTCGACAACAGCAAGATATAAGTAATCCTACGATCTGGTGTCAGGTTTGCGCCTGGTAGAGATCCTCTCTAGCTAGTGAAGTCGTCATTAATCATTACTTTTGATGGTCTTGGTACTCAATATGCATGTGGCACCACCAACAGTGAGACTACGTTTATTCTACCTGTTTGTTTGCTTGTATCTCCAAGAGCACAACTCCGCAAAACTTTTTATTTTGTATCTTGAACTTTAAATCATTTGATAAACGTTGGAACATCAAAGCCGTGTGCCTTATGAATTTAAGGGAATGTATTAAGCCTACGCAGCTTTGCCAGATTATACTGTCGCACCAACAGACAATTCAACAGTAATATAATTTCTACACAATTACATGTCCTCTTCTCAGAAAAACCTGTATATTAGAAAGTTACTGCTTAGACAGAAATCAGATAGAAAACTGTCCTGAACTGTGACTCAAACAGCTGCTACAAAGTATCCAACGTATATTATCTTTTGGTAGTAAAAATACAAACAGCTAAGTTAGCTACCAATAAAGCCACAAGACCGACAGAACATGTCGTCTTCTATGTCAAAAAGTAACACATTCTTGTCAGACATATGGTATCATTCCTTTAAACCAGGAGATGGAATTTGTGAACAAGTTACAGTTTACAAAAACAACTAAGGAGCATTTTGAAAGTTAAACATCGTAATACACCCTGTAGACCTCCAGGAAGGTCAGGCAAACTGACAACCGACTTATTGCAATAGTTTCGGTATAAGAATACCATTCGCATGACATTCAATCATTGCAGAATTAAAGTTCCTACGGACTTTAACTGAATTACTTCAAGTTGAAGTTAACTGTGAAGCTTTGGTGTGACTTAGCCAACAAAAGTCAAATTTGTCAGGATTGTAGAAGAATTCGCTTCCTGCTTTCAAATCAAATGCATCTGAATAGTTTTCTTTACTACTCATTTTGATGTGAAAATATGTTTCTATATTTGCAAGCTTAAAAACATTGATTCTTAATTGTAAATGTGTTTATCACACATGCATTTTATTTCACTGTGTGTTCTTATGAGTATCTTTTCATTCTTGTGACATCTTTTATTTCCTTTTTGATATGACATTGGAGGCTATGATATTTACCCAGTGCTTTGCATGTGATACTAGGCATCACAGTTCACAAAAAAACGAAGACATTGTATTAAGACGTTTCAGCTCTGTGTGTTACAAATTTGAGCCATTGACACCATTTAAGTAGAAATTCCCCGAAATGTACATCTGTGCTTGAGTTAGTTTTTTCTTTCTGTATTTAATAACTGTGTGCACTATGAGCATTGGCTTATGGGTAGATTACAGGAGTCATTTTGTTATGATTCTTATTATAAATGCTCTGTTTGCAAAACACTACATTTAACTTAAGATTTTTAGAATGTACCCATTTGAGTTGATATAATGTCCCGAGTTCTGCAACGAGTATCTCTGCAATTGGTTAAGTCATTTAAAATCAAACTTAATTGGTACAAGCTTAAGTGTATCGATCCCATTAAATCGATGAGGTTAGTTTTACATATGCATTCCAAATAATGGAATTTTATTTCTCGTCCATAAAAGCTGATTATCCGTTGACCTTATGTACCTTGTGTAATTTATTGTAACTTCCAGTCTCGAAGTTATTTTGCGTGCAGATACGGTAGATTTAGCTCAACCTGGTGATCGGTGTGAATTCATTGGGACCCTCATCGTTATTCCAGATGTTGGACAACTGGCCACCCCTGGTAAGTCATAATTTGTCTCGCCACACTAATTCATGTGTTTTTGATGACAACATTAGTTACGATGTAATAACGATTGCTGCCTCATTTTCATCTATCAGATCATGAGCTGAAAGTAGTCGATTTTGTTAGGGTGACTAAAATCTATAAATCGATTACGTTTGCCTGTATTTATAAAGAAAGTACCTTCTGTTTTTTTATTCAATGTAGGAGACAGATCGTTAGAGGCTAAGCCGTTGCGAGGACGAGATAATCAAGAAATTGGTGGTGTTACTGGTCTTAAAGCTTTGGGAGTACGTGAACTATCTTATCGAACGGCTTTTTTGGCATGTACCGTCATTCCTTCTAATGGAAGGGTAAGTTGGGTTTATATTTTTTAAAATTCCCGTCAGTTATTTTAGTTGCACTACGATTCATTTTGACCGTGTTCTTTTGGCGGCTTCCTTGATGTGGTGACCACACTATTGCAAAAGGGAAACAATGTACGCTAACTAATATAACTCTCTCGGCATTCTATCTTGCCAGAAAAGTCAGATGGAACTAAGAGTGGCTACCGTCATTGTTCGGGGTGCGAATGTTTAAATTGCGTTCTTGCAGATGTAGATGCGACACAAAGATATCTTCTCTCCTGGGTTCCAGTTAAGTCGTTTGAAAAGCGTTTGATTGAATGGTTTTTTTAAGAAGCTGGATTGTGACGATGATATTTCAAAGTCTTGTTTACGTACCCAGTCCCAGATGGAGTATGGGACTAGTTTATCGAAGTTTGTGTACCACCCTGAAAACAATAAAAGTGCATGTATCCTAATGCTCTTAGTGCTCAGTAGCTTGGTTCTAATTGAATGAAGATTCTATACTTTCAGAATCCCAGCCAAGCGAATCAGTAATAGGGACTGCTATTGCCTTACAACACTTATTCCTTCAGGTATGATATTCAGCCATAGGAAAAGATTATTTTACCCACAGGTGACTAACCTCAGCTCAAAAATAGACATACAAATCATATCTCTGTTGGCAAGTGTTTAGGAAATCGAAAAAATTGCCAGTTTATCTGGAGCACTTGCCGTAGCACTGAAAACGCATATGCCTATTTTCGAACAAATGCAGAAAAATCGAGAAAGGACCTTTGCTAGCTGAGTTCAAATCTACGCGGTGAAAATGAGCAACGGTGAATAGTTAAAATTGAAGGGATGGAAAAGATAACGACTGTTTGTGGTCATAGGTAATTATGTGAACTTTTTAAGAAGGCTGGAATGATTTAGTTGGCAGCCAGTGAGATTGTCATCAATAGGGGCGGTTGAGACATTCATTTGGAGGATAGACAACTAAGATGACAATAAACATAGAGGGTTGAACTAACCTGTAGTAACCCACTATTCAGTCACAACCTGTTTGATTATTGGTATGGTGATTCAACTACCGTCGATTTTGTAAGTAACCTAAATTTGGGAACAATAGTTCGTCATGGCGACCTACTACTAGAATTATCCAAGGATGGCAGTTCATGTTTATTGGTTGCACTGAGATACTAGCTAGATTGTGGTAGTCAGTTATGATCTCATCTAACTGGCTTCAATCATTTATTGTGGTATTTCATAATAAGGAAGAGTGACTTACGTGACCATAGAAAAACTAACTTCGTTCCATAATCATCCGTTAGTTCAGATAAGGTAAACCTGATAAAATATGGCTGGCTTCACGTCTGATCATGACTGTGCCAGCCAGATCTTCACCCCCACCAAAAATTGGAGTATAGACATGCTTACATGTGCCAGGCACTAGTATTTCTCCACGTGAAAGCAACACTTGACTCTGTTGATCGTAGTGATCTCATCAGAACGGTTGTCTGGCCAGTACACCACCTCACTGAAAGCTTTATGCTTCAACACCAGTCAGAATGTTAAAGCCTGTAGTGAAATATCATATTAAATATCTACTTAAATTATATTTCATTAGGGAGTTTCACCTTATTTTTATTCAACCTTTTCATATTTCTGCTTATGAAGATTTCCATCTTCTTTGAATTTAAAGGATTGACCTCGTAGATCCCGTACTGAAATTTGAGTTTGCAGACAATGTAGTCCTGTTATTGACAGTTAAAGGATGTTCAGATGTGTTTTTCACCTCCGAAATGTGAATTTCTGTTTCATAACTGGTTTGTATTGACACTTGACAATAAGGACTGAAGTATTTGAGCGCTTTAAGCACTGAATTAAATGTTCTGCGCTAATATTCCTTTGGCAGTTGACATTGCTTCATCCTGTTGTTCGTCCATCTTTCGCACACTTCACCCAGTGCTTGCTGGTTGACTGAAAACATTTGGGGAGTACAAATGAAGTGTTATAATAGGTAATCCACGCTTTCTGAGTACGAATAAATGCACCGAGTAATAAAATATTGTAGTTGGGTTAACTCTTCTGAGCTTTATGATTAATATCAGGTCTTATGTTACTCAAGATATCCTTATAATGTACGTGCTGCATATCGATAGTCATACTTTCCTTCACTTTAATATTATCTCAGTGGACGTTTTCCGCTTTGTCATTCTTATGAGCGTCCCGTAATAGTTAGTAATTCACACCTATGTAACTCTTGCTTCTGAAATTTGATAATTACGCGTCCATGTTTTATATCGATGTTTCAGTATTGGTAGTGGAATGGGAAACTCATTAATCCTACAGGTACTAAGGGTCAAGAAATTGTTGACAGTTTGTATATCTATGGCATGAGGATTCTTGTTTTGTCAAGCCACTCAGTCAGTCAGCATAAACATTGAACCTGGCATAAGTATGTAACGGTCCGAATTGCTACAATTCACAGTAGCACGTCAAAGTGGAAGGTGTACAGATTGTGGAGAAATAAACAAGAAGGAATAAAAAGTGATCATGATAAAGATAGTGTGTGGACATATATCACTCGCATCGATGTAGAGATAGGTTTAGAATCAGTGGTTTCTATCATAGCAGGGACCTCAAGTAACAAACATTTATCTACATAACTGAGATTAAAAGTCAGTGACTTCGTAAATTGTAACTTCCTTGTTTACGTTGCTACCGGTTCTGATAGTATTGTTCTTGTTGTATTTAGCAGATGCCCCAAGTTTATGCTGAGTTATTTGAAACCATTAACGCTAATCAGTAGTAGTTGATATTCTTCAACTTATTCCCGAATGGCATGGAGATCTTAATCATTAAAAAAGACCACATCCAAGTCTTTCATTTTGGCTAGATGTCACTGTCTTGTTACCACTATTGACCATCAGTTCCAAAATATCTTTATTTTATGTAGGTTTTTAATCGATCGAGATTCGCCTTTTAGGAAATTGAAACCAATTGTGTTGCTTGTCTATAGACGTGAATAATTTTGTAACGATAGTTTCTCAGTCATATTTCCAAAGTTATTATCGATTATCAATTCCAAATTTTTTCTTTAAGTTATCTAAGTCGTGCCGATTTGAATTCTGTTCGATATCAGTGATGTAGTATCACTTACCTCATGGGGTTTTAAGCACAACATATTGCTCATAATTATATGAAGAAGTTAATAATACTGTTATTGTGTGCTATATCAAGTAAAGCGAACTACTGAATTATACTGTACTGTAGTGCCTTTTTTCAGCACGTATACTAGCCAATTTAAATCCACTTTTTTATGACTACCGTCAAGATGGAATTTCTATTCTCTTTATTCGGGAATATACGATGTTGCTGGGTTTGAAGTAGGTACTTGATTTTGCTGTTGATTGTTAGTTTTTAGATATCTTTCACATTGTGTTCTGTCTTTCAACATTTCGGACGGTTGTTTAAATTTCTATTTCAGTACCTTCCGTCAGATGATTTAGAGGAAGCAGATGCAGTTTCATACGAAGCTTTATCAAAAAGACTAACGCCTTCGGAATTGGATACAATTTGTCAGATGAGCCATGATCGAAAACTTCTTGCAAATATGTGCAAATCACTTTTCCCTACTGTTCATGGTGCTGACGAAGTAAAGAAAGGCATCTTATTGATGCTTTGTGGTGGTGTACCTAAGGTTAGATCAATGAGTGACTTTCTATACTCTGCATTTAGTTCACAAAATTGAGTTCTAATCCTTTATCCCCATTATTATTATTATTATTATTATTATTATTATTATTATTATTATTATTATTATTAATCGTATACAAAGCTAAAGATAGTCACTCTACCAACATAATTTTGAAGTAATGTAAGGGTAAAAATTGTTTAACACCAAAATTATCAGTTTCACAAATAGTGTAGTAGTATCTATTTTTCGCTAAAGATTTTAGATTTCACGTAACATAATTGTGCTGTTTAAGGATTGCAACAAACCTCAGATAAAGAAAGCAACTGCTGCCAGCATCTTCATAAAACTGTTTTAGTTCATTTGAGTTAACAAAACTAAGCCAAATACTAGTTAAGTCGAAATGCATTCAGCAATCACATACACGTTCGTGCAGTAGGCAATGAGCCACACCTATTGCGTGAAGACTAGCCATACTATCTGGCTGCCCAAACCTCGATAGATGGAGCGAGGTTCAAACCTGTTACCCATCGTTTGAAAGTGGATTGCGTGGACCAATGAGCCGCAGCTCCACAAATATTAGTAAGGAAAGCTATGAGGTAGATAGCATGTTGACCAACAATCATTGGCAAGTCTAGGGCACCTCATAAAGCCCTTTAGTTATCCCACTGCAAAAATAGTTTGAGCCTTATTATAGAATGTTCCATGTTAAAGACAACAATATGAAGAAGTAGAATTCCGCCACTAAAACGTGCCAACTTGTTCTTGACTCTTATTAGGGATACACACTTAACCATTGAGACCAGTCAGCTAACACTCAAGTGAATCTAATCAATAATCCTCTATCACCATCTTATTTTCTTATGTCTTTAGTTCGTGGTGGCCAGAAGTAAATTATCTGAGCACAGTTGTAGGAGGATATCACTGTAATATATTTTTGACTGGAGTTCCGAAAGTGCCACCTAAATATCTTTCCTTCTGGTTTAGCCTTCTTACTTGTGAGTTGATATTGCCTGCTACCACAACCACACCTGAGGTTTTGGCCTTCAGTAGGAGGCTGGAAGGTTTTCGGAGGATCTCATCGTTCACTTCACCCAAACCACAGTTGGTAATCATAATGAAGTGAATGGTGTTTCATCATTCTTTTTTTACTTTTTTACACTATTCAGTCTAACAGTCTACAGGTGAATGTCATCTGACATACAGCCGAGCAGAGCACTTTCATCCTTAGGATTTAATACTGTACCAACACCTGTAGGATCACGAGGACTAGCCATCTTATCTCTACAAACTCGAATTTCGCAGATTCACCGTATTTAGCAAGTGAAGTTCAGTAAAAAATGACTTGGGTCCTGTATACATGTTTCACAAACAGCACACGTTCATGACCTGAAATATTGGAGTTTTGACCGGGTAATCTAGTCTGATTAGACGAAGAGTGCGGACACTGAAAGCTCCAATATGCTATTTGGAGTGAGGTTTCAAACCACCATATATGCTGTTCCGTGAACTTGAATCGTAATCGAGAAATGTACATGAAGAAGAAATGAGAGATAACGTAGAATTATTAACAGAGATATTAAGAAATATCAAAAGGTAACGATTCAGAAGGCTGACATTGATAGGACGAGACTTGAGTGCCGACAGAGTTGTGAGGGTGGTTGACACTTTCTAACTGCTCACACTGTCGAAGGTTAATTTTCGAGACACCCGATTAGAAATTGTATTAGTAATAATGGTGCATGACCGTTGAGCCCAAAGCTGGCCACAACCTTCTTTTAAAGGTTAAACCTTAACAGTGGCTGTCTTTAATTCGGCTAAAAACCGTACTGCTGGTACCAATAAATTGTATAGCAGTGAAGTGTTATATTTGAGGCTGATTTTTCCTAACCCCCCTTTTCCATAGAGAAAACTGCTTCTGAATGGTTGCTGGTTATCCTAGGGAACTATCTCGCCGCTATCACACCCCAATCCAGCCAGCAGTACGAGTACACCTCCAAACCACCAAGAAAGCGTAAGCTATTCACACTATGACGGTGACTGTTTTCAACCTCACCACTACCCCGACAAACCTTTCTGATATCAAGGACCTCCAGAATCACTTGTTTGAGTGGTTTTGACAAGCAAGCATGACCACTCATCATCATCATCATCATTATCAACATAGGACCAGGCATTACTGCGTAACGGTCCGAGTTGCCACACCTCATATCAGCACATCAAGTAAAAAGGTAGTGAGGTGAAGGATGAAGATAAGTGAATGCAGTCAAAAGAAATATAAAGTACGAGAAGAAAGGAAAGAGGAGTGACAAAATAGTGAGATTCGGTTTAGCGTTGTTAAGATGAAGATAATGTGTGTATACATCTGCGCCACTGACTTCGGTTCTGAGCCATATCACCTAGGGTCTCCAACCACTGGTTCCTCTTGTCCCGTGGACCCCAACCACCTAGTCTGCATCGTCCTACATGGCCTAAACCAACAGTCAGAGACTTCATACATTGGTGCCATGTTTTAGTCTGGCCACCTCGGGCCTTTTTCCAGCCTGAACCACTATATCAAGGTAGAAGCTGTTGGTCAAACTAATGATGCCTGTCCGCTTTAGTTTCACTTGATAGAGAGAGGAGTGTCCAAACCTGACACTGGTTCGGTGGTAGCTACTGAGATCAGCGATGACACCAGTCACTTTTTCTTATCAGGATATGTTACTATTGTATTACTTCTTGTAATATGTGAAACATGCGAACTGGATTTAGTGAGATGGTAGTCGAATCCTGCTACAGTGAAATTCTTCATGAACCATTCTACTGTAAAGTACTTTTGTGAGATTGGCCAAAACGTCTACCTTTATTCATCTTTGGAAGTGAACATGTAAAGAGTCGAGAATTTCGTGTATCTGAGTAGTTATATGGGTGATGGTTTGAAAAGTAGTGGAAATCATTATTCGGATATCGAATTTATCTTACAGCCTGTCAGGTTTATGAGTTCGTTTCCCCATGGGTTTCCATACTACTGATACTGAGAGTCATTAAAGGAGATGGTCACTTTGTGACATTGCATCGTGGAACATAATCTATTTGTTTCAAATAAATATTTGTTAGTTGCCAAAATATATATCGTAATCAGTATCTTAAACGTCATGCTTCATAATTTTCTGTGCTTCATCAGTCAGTAACTGATAATACTGACCGTAATTTTTCTGTAAATCTTTTAACTATAAACCTTATCTCTTACAAATAATTTGACAGATTACTGAGGAGAAAACTCATCTTCGTGGTGATTTGAACGTATGTTTAGTTGGTGATCCCAGTACAGCAAAGTCTCAGTTTCTGAAACATGTTGAACGGTTTTCGCCGCGAGCTATTTATACAGTGGCAAGGCCAGTTCTGCTGCCGGTTTGACAGCTGCAGTTGTGAGAGATGAAGAGTCCTTTGAATTTGTTATTGAAGCCGGGGCATTAATGCTTGCAGATAATGTAAGTTTTTGGTTGTACAGATTTTAATTTGAGCAGTTATGTTAACGGTTGTATGATGATACCACATATGAATAAAAATGTAAACTAATGGTTATCATGTCTTAGTCCCTGCTTATCCTTTGCTTTAGAAAATTAATGCATAAGCTTTTAGAACGTATTTAAATAACTTGGTTCTCTGATTATCCTATCATTCCCGTTTATTTTGTCATCGTAGTGCAGTAGTGGTTGTTGCTGATAAGAATGGATATAAGTAGTATATGTTGAAAGGGTGGCAGAAATCATAGGGAATTACCAGCAATGAGGAAGGATTCTGCCAAGAGAAACGCAATAGACAAGGCAGGCGTATGAAGAGCAAATCCAGAAAGAAGCAGAAGGGGAAATGAAGCGTATTTTGCAAATGTCGGTTTTAGTGCAAGGTGGCGACTGCTGTCCCACTTGTTGACAACAAACATTCCTTCCTTCATATCTGTCTTTTTGCTTCTTTCAGTGCTACTGTGCAATTTTGTGTAACCTGGTTTTTGGTGCCCATTTTGTAGTAGGTTTGCGCTTAAAATAAACAGCACCACATGTGACAATAATACCTGTGAAATTAGTGTTGCTATGCAAAGTTAGTAAAATGCAATGGCCTGACGTTCGTGTCACTTGTTATCATTCTCGCCGTGCTTTTAAAGTATGAAGATTGGCTGTAATCTCTGAGTTATATAAGTTCTCATCTCATTCATCTCTTACGTCGAAAAGCGAATTTTACGGTTAGATCCTTCTGTATAATTTTTTGAACTCTGCCAACAACCCACCTTTCTATGTATGTAAAAACTGTGGCGACACATGTCACCTTTTTCAAAGATGATAGTCCTAGTGATGATGCAAATTAGTCGTGTAACTACCAAATCTCAGTTGTCATTAAGAGAAATATTTAAATCCCAATTACCTCTTGATAAAAAATTATCCTGAACTGTAACTATCACCAGAAAGTGATATTTCGAAATACGTTGTTTACTGCTATCAACAAATATTTTCAAATTGTGATTATGAGCAGTGTGGACTTGTTAGTAGTCATCCTGTGGGATATCCGCAATAAATCTTTATCTATAACTGTATTAAGGTCGTTTAGGTACTGTGTTATCGATAAATACTTTCGTACAGGTGACGCGTAGTTGATTCTTACTTATAACAACTCGGTATATTTGCAAATGCTGTCCTTGATATTAGTCGTATGTAGTTTCGATGAATATTAGCCTCCGAGAATTCTTTTTAGTGGATTACTGGCAACGCAAAAAGATGTGAAACGATACACTCTACGCCCCTTCCTCGAAATGGTAGATAGTACGAATAGGAATGAATGAAATGCGCTCAGCAATTTTGTGCATATACTTATAGTAGATAGTGAGCCACACCTATTGTGTGAGGGCTAGTGATACTACCTGGGTGCCCAAACCTCAATGGGTGGATCAAGACTCGAACCAGTGGCCCATCGGTTGAAAGCCATACTACGACGAAACACCTGTTCAGTGCTCTTAGGTTTCCAGTGCTTCTCCAGTTGATGTCAGTCCATGATGAATACCGACCTGAAAGTTATCTCCCTAAACCAATGAGCCACAGCTCCACTACGAATAGGAATACTGATCACCTGAGGGAAATATCCCTTTGTCATCACATCCTGGCACATCATGCATCTCAGCGCCCCGCAGTATTACTACTTTTATCCCCACCAAGAATATAGTAGAACCTGAAGGAAAAAAGTGTCACAACTAAATCACCATCGTAAGCGAACCAAATTGCTGTAGTTTGAGCTAACTACTAAATCTCGAATACCTTTGGGGTTAGCAAAGGTCAAAAACTTCCCATGTAGTTTTCAAAAAGATGATATCCATATACTGTTGGAACTGAGATATACTAGTGGTCAGTATCAGTCGTGCTGTAAAGACGGAAATAAAGTGGACATCTTCAGTAAGAAATGAACCATAGAGGCTTAGGTTATTCAAATAAGAACCATCAATTTTTTTATCACATTAACTCAACACATTTTTACTATGTACATGGAAATTCGATATCTGCAATGGGTTGACTGCATTGCCGTCCTTTATTGTCCAGAAAACATCTTAACGACATCTCTTTTTATAATACTGTTACAGATTGCTTGCATGCTCGTTTTCTAAAATTGCTGCCCTAATAGCATTCATATTTCTTAATTTTCATGCCATACTTTTATTACGTCTAACATTCTTGTTTATAGGGGGTTTGCTGTATAGATGAATTCGATAAGATGGATTTAAAAGATCAAGTTGCTATTCACGAGGCTATGGAACAACAAACAATTAGCATAACAAAAGCTGGTGTAAAAGCTACACTAAATGCACGCACTTCTATCCTTGCAGCAGCTAACCCAATCGGTGGTCGGTATGATAGATCAAAATCTTTACGACAGAATATTGGTTTATCAGCTCCTCTTATATCACGCTTTGACTTGTTTTTCGTACTGATAGACGAATGCAACGATGTGAGTAATTTGGTTTCTTTCTTTCTAAAAATGCTTTAGCGTGCCGATCTATGATGAGTACAACAATGATGACTGACAGCCCAGTTTCGTTAAAATAAAGAGCTTTCAAAATAGGAAGGAAAATTATTGCGAAATTATTTTGGGATCATTTATTATCCAATTATCATAAATATTAACCCTTGTTATAGTGTATTTTTGGTTACTGTAATGGTCTTCCACCGACGAGTAGTGCCAATGTCACACTATCTGTTATTTCCGATCGATTCAAATAATTTGATGTATTCACTAGTCTTAGGAATCTCTCATCTTTTGCATGTTGTATATTGAGTGAGATTTGTAATTGAAATGGTCACTAAAAGTTTTTGAGTATTTATGTTCTTTCAGCAACAAGTCCATCGCAATCAGCATTCTCTTAGTCTGATTCAAGCTTTTCGTTGTTTGTGTGTCTTGGCATCAAACATCATTATATAAGTCCTGGTTTAGTTTTTGCATTTTTGTTAATTACATTTATTTAATATCATATCTGGGATTAAGTTGGCAGTATGAGCCTCTACTTCTCTGTTAACTGAAGAATTTGTAATTCAACTGCATTAAAAGTACTCCATTATTCAGTTCTGAATTTATTTCAAATTTATGCTGTGTTAGTTTCACCCAATATTCATTTAGTGTTATTGCTTGTATTACGCCGTCGTTGATTAGACCAAATTGATCAGTCTTTGTTGGCATATGGGCTCCTGTGCGGATGCCTCGATATTACCTGTCTTTTAACTATGTATAGTAATGATAGGCAGTGGCTAGCAGTAGAATCCAGGGTGCGCATTTCGTCCTGTTTGGGACTCGTCAGCTGGATGTACCTGCACCCCAGTGATGTTGTTCCCACTGAGACTTGAGCCTCGTACATCCAGCTGACGAGTCCCAAATAGGACGGAACGCGCATCCTGGATTCTTCTGCTAGACACAGCCAACCAAATTATCAAAATTAACACTCAGGCAATATCGAGGCATCCGCATAGGAGCCCATATGCCAATAGAGGTCGAACAATTTAATCCAACAAAACAACAGAGAATAACAAGTATGTAGGACGAAATGCGCATCCTGGTTTCCACTGCCCATCATTACTATACAATATTCATTTGCTTCAAACTCGGTTTAGTTCGTGAAGTTATGACGCTACTTTATAATCAGAATCCTGGAAAACGTACTGCCTTATTGTTTGGAAAAATAGACTGGTTTTTATGCAGTTATGGAGAGATGCTGTCTGAAATGTCTTGTTCGTCACTGACTAAGTATGCAGACTAAGAGTTTATTGTGTATGATAAGCATTTTGTGACCTCTATTAAACAAAGCAGGATTTTAAAGTAGAATGTAGGGGATTTGTTTTTAGATACATTTAGCGGTTTATTTCTTCCATAATTATGTTATATCCTACCCCTGTTTCAGATTGTGGACTACGCTATCGCACGTTCGATTGTAGATTTGCATATGGGTGTGCATGGAGCAGGGGATACTCATACTGTTTATTCGGTTGATAATATTCGTCGTTACATCGCCTTTGCTCGTTGTTTCAAGCCTAAGGTGAGATTAACTTGTATGTATCAATTTCTTGACTTTACTAAATTTCGGGTTTACAAGGAAATAAAACTTCTATGAGATCCTATCTTCTGAAGATACTTGTTTCCAATATCTGTTGTTTGTTTTTTTGCATTTAAACACCACTCTACATATATATGTCGTTATCAATTTTAGCGTTTTTCTTGATTGTTTTTTAGAACTACTAACCTATTTGGCTCAGATTGTGTGCCAAAGTGGACTGTTCGAAATTAAGTGGACTAGTTTGATCTTTCTTTGGTATTGAGGGCTACTCATTTCGTTCACCGGCATAAACTGTTTCTGGAAAAGCCAAAAAAGTATTCATTTCTACAATGTTGTTGGAAATTATGCGAGTTCTTGTTATTGTAGCAAGCACTTAGGATTCCCCCTTAGTTAACAATCACTGTCGCTATTGTTATTGTGCAAACGTCGTACTGCTGTCATATGTTGTTTTTTTTAACCTGAGAAAAGTGACATTTTATCTAAGTTTTAACTCAAAACCTAGAAGTTGTAGACTTTTGACTCGATTAATATTGTATTTGGAAAACTCGAATGAAGTCACTTGAAGTTTAAGGGTTTATTAGCATTGGAATCCTCCCCACACTTTTCCCCTTAGTTTACATTCCACACGGATCCTAAAAAAGCATATTACAGCAGAACCTTGCGCAACATTTCATTTCAAACTGCCACAATATGTAGCACAGGGAGATGAAACACTGTCGATACTCTGCATTCACACTTTTGTGCTGTGTGGTACATTCTCTTCCTCTTCTATTATCATGTGTAATTTTTTTCAGGATACGTGATTACTATTTGATGCAGTGACACTTGTGTACCGCGATCGTGTGTTTAGAAATACTATACGAAAATTTTGGTTTTAGACAGTAGTGTTATTGATAACCTTTAGATAAAGGTCAGAATTGAACTCTTTGTTACTGATCCACTAATACTCTCATTCGACTTGTATAAGTCTTATATTATGATAAATTGCAAGGTATAATGAATGAATTACAATGGGGAGGGGTTGATCATTAGCTGCGACATTCTTACGAAAGTTAGACGTCAGTTGTCATACTATGCTGAATCGCTGTTTTTTTAGGTATTTCATTTGCATTTTTCGGTTATTACGCTTGATTAACTTGGTTTTCCCATCCGGCTCTGCGGTTTATGTCGCTGTTTCTTCCAAGAACATCACTATAAAAGTAACCAGAAGTCATTCATAACTTGGCTGATTCATTTGTTGTCAGGACTGTTTTTGCCTGTCATCTTATTCTATTTCTTAATGCAAAATTGTGTTTCACGGTTTTCATTTCTCATCAGATCAGTAGCGAAGCTATGGAGTGTATGGTTGCAGAATACAAAAAAATGCGACAGAGAGACGCTTCCAGTGGGACGAAGTCCGCGTGGCGTATTACAGTTAGGCAGTTAGAAAGTCTTATTCGTCTTTCGGAGGCCACAGCAAGGCTACATTGTGCAGATACCGTAAGCTTCTGTGTTTAAGTATATCATATGCGGAAATATGTAACTGCGCTTGTGCTTTTTTTTACTAAACTAATACTCAATTATATTATCCATATCTCCTGTCGTCTCTCTTATTCACGCTTTTTGGCCTATTCAGACTGGTCGACAATGAAATACAGGTATGAAAATACAAGCTACCTGTTTTCAATTGTAGCGACAATGGTGTTTGGAAATTAAGGTATGTGATATATATATTTCGGCTTGATATACGAATCTGAAATAGATCAGAGTAAATTGGAGATGGATAGGTACATACACGGCAACATTCTTCAGCCCGCACTTGTACGAACAGGATCATTATTATTTTACTCCCTCCACAAAGTCCAAGGTTATATGTCTGTGAGGGGTGTTTTCTCTACTGTGAAAACTGAAATTTGTTTCATGTTTAAACGTTCTTTTCAAGGTCTAGAATTAGTAAGAATAAAATTTAAACAAGTTGGTAGCATATGAAGTACAAACCATTTCTGTCTACCACTCGAAAGCAATGCGTAAACAACTCGAAAGCTCATGGACTCATGAGTAACTGCTGTATGGTTTGTTACACATGGTTAAGGTCCTTTGAGTACTAGTATGAAATTTTTCAAAGTATTTAAAGAAAATTGTCTAATTTATTGTACTCTCCGTACCTTTGCCACTCGTTATAGTTTCGTTTTGATGCAGATTAAACTATCAATGATATATTGTCATACAAATGTTTGGTATATCAGATGTTTATTTATTTAGGTAACTCAAGGTCATGTTCGTGAGGCATTCTCCCTCTTAAACAAATCTATAATACGAGTCGAACAACCTGATATAAATTTGGAAGAGGAGAATGAATATCAACAGCCAGACATCTCTCAAACGCCGCAGACTGAACAGGTAAACACTTTTTCAACATCTTTCAACGTCTAGATTCCACTCACCTTTTCCATCTGTTACTTCTAATAACTTTCCAATTCCTTGATCCTAGCAAACTACAGAAGCAGATACAACAGCAGGTCACTTACGAGTAACGTATGAAGAGTACAGACGCATCGCAAGTTTGTTGATTTTTAAAGCACGAAACTGGAGTGAGTCTTCAGCGGTTGATGCTCCATCTGACCAAACGGTTGGCGCTCCAAAGAAAAGTGAATTAGTGAACTGGTATTTGGAAGAAGTTGTCGATGAGCTGGAAACGGAAGCGCAATTAACAGAATGCAAACTTCTTGTGGAGCGCATAATCGACCGTCTGATAAAAAAGGTGAGTCTATGAATTTCACCTACTGCTAAAAGTTAATCATTACTACTCGTTTATCTTTTTTTTATATCTCGGTATCATTTGCGTTTTATTTTTAGAATGCTTATTAATTATATGAAAGGTGAATTTAGGCTGCAACCAGTTTCACTAATATCAATGAACCAGCTCTATTCCATTAAAGATATCTATCCGTCGCGACGCTCACGCAACACTTGATCAAAATAAAATACTATAGTTATAGAAAATGGGCTTCGTGATACAATGTAGTCTCATATTAGATTTTTTATTAGGTGCAGTCCACAATGATGCAATGTTATCTACTGAATGTCGTTTCAAGCACAATTCATTACTTATAGTTGTATCAGCGTGATTCAACTCAGTTTCGTAGTTCTTTAGCTTTTCCCTCCTTGATTTTATCGGCAGTAAAATCGCCATCAGCACTGAGTCATTTCTTCTGTATGTGTCAAGCGTTTATTTGATCAACAGAATTCCAGTGATAGACCTCCTCTCCACCTGTTAGTCTTCAGAATTGCTACTTTGCGTGTCACTTCACGCTTGGCAATGGCTGGGATCGTCTCAGTGAGATCTATTATTCCAGATTTAGATGTGATGACTAACCTTTATCAGTCAGTTTGACTTCACCGTTGTGCTTGTTGGAGAAGTTTTATCGAATTGAGTCGATAACGTCCTTAAACTGATAAAGTTTGTCCCTAGGGGATTTGTAGATTTTAATATATTTCCAGTTCCAACTTTACTGAAACTTCTACGTACAACTTCCTATGTATTTCCCTTATATAACAACACTGTGAAGGCTTTGGATTCCAAGCTAGTCGTGCTCCAATGACTAGTGACATTATTACCATTCCTTCTCCAAATAAACCTTATGCATTTCTGTTATAATTTAAGGTAGTTACTTACTACTAGTTAAAATCCTAGGTCGACTATTCAAACATTTGGTCAAAAAATTACTTGCTGGTTCGCAAGATAACTTTGAGTTCAGGATGCGATAGCTTGCTGTTCACAGTGGTAGCTTAGCGAATCTTTTTGTTTTATTTAGCAATCTACCACAGCTAATTCTTTTCGTCCACCTTCTAGATGTGATTGTGTTCTGATTTCAACAGAGTAAATGTGTCACTCATATGTGTCCACTATAGGTTTAGTATTCAGTGTTTGAAGATTTATACGTTCTTAACTATCTACGTTTTTAATCACTGGGGATAATGGTGATCTCATAACAGACCTTCGTATTCGTCTCCTTATTTTATGCTGACTTAAAATCCTAACCTGATATCTTCACCCGAAAAATAGGATTCATGGACGGGTTCAGGATTATCGTTCACCTCACGGCGGCTTTTAGAGTCATCATTGATTGGTACATTAGTACATAAGCTTGCTACATTGTAAATAATCGTTTACTCAACCTCATGTATCTGAATATCATCTAACACGTTTAACATAGATTTGTTGTTGGTACTATTAAGTTAAATTTTCTTTATCAGCTTGGCAATTGCTATGATGCTGTCACTTAGATTCTTCATATTTCAACTATAGAGAAGCCCAATCATGAAATTGTGTGATGATCGGTCGTAGATTGTGACCGAAATGTCATCTAGTAAATAATGCTGGTTTACTGTGGGCTGCATTTAATGAATTAATCTAATACAGAAAGCCATTTGTTGTTCAGCATTGTACGCATTAAGTCGGAGAGCCATGCTCAAGTGGTCGTAGGCATATTCTAGCGTTCGCGTACTAACAAAGCAGTGATTGAAATGCCCTTCATTTGTGGCAACAAAGTAATGTCACTTACCCAATGCAATCCCCACATTTTTTCGAACCATCAAATTCCAACTTGGCTGGAATGTCTACAAAATGTCTTTCAAAAGAATGAAGTTTTCTACTCTCAGCTATAAGTATTTTTGATTTGAGTGACTTTAAAGTTTTCGTTGTACGTTGTGTACGTGAGCTGACACTCCCCCTCGATAATGAGTGCTGCGGATTTGATATGATTATCCTGTCACTGTTAATACGCTCTTAAGGCGTTTTTTCGATGGATCAATAGGTAAATCTGCCTAAATCTTTTATCTGCCGTATATCTTGTGTCTACTAAGATGTTTTCTTTTTCAGGATAATATTTTAATAGCTATTGGCGGCACAGGACTGGATGCATCTTCTGATACTGCAGATCCTTATATCGTTGTACATCCGAATTATTCGGAGTGATTGAACAACTCTTTATAATTTGTTTTCATGTATACGTGTTTTTTAAGTAACAGATCACTATTTCTATTTGGTAAAATTTTTAACTATTCATCCCTCGTTATCTGCACGACACCAACTGAACGTCAAAATGGACTAGTAAAGTTTGAGTATTTTATTCCAAGTTTTACAAAGGTACCGTAGATAGTAATCTGTTTATAAAATATCCTGTACAGATTGCGTAATGGTTACCAGCGCTTTTGTGTGCTAATATAAAACACTGAAACAAATAAGTAGAATCAAGTAGACCTACCATTATTTCCTCTAATGAAAGTGTCGCCATATTTGTTCTTCAGTTGACCGTCAACGTACTCTTCTGTCTGCTCTAGCACCACATTCATATAACCGTCTAATGAAATAAGAACACCTGAATATTAGCGGCGTACAACGTGTAAGTACCTCTGTAATCAGCACCAGAGTTCAGTTTAACTACAACTGGTCTACCAATTATAAGTTTCAGGAAATCTCTCGGCGTTTGTTTGTGCGACATTTCTGGTAGGTTGTTAGTTTCAAATAAACCGTATATCTAACGAAAAAGGCAAAATGTGAAACGAATTAGCTAATTACTGTTAACATGAGTGTGAACTAAAGCATCTGACTGGCACTTCTGTTTCAAAATAGGATGTATTCTTAGAAGCATGCTTCCTTAAAGACTTACGATGTGTAATCTTATGACGTCAGTCTCAAGTATATGTAGTACTTTTAAACTCAATATATGGGCCTCAGATCTACTATCAATCTGACCCTCACTACTGATTCCTGACACAAAAAAGTCCTAATTAGTAGCGGCTGGAGCTACTTATGTATTTATTTGCGGGACGTACACTGAACTGTACGTGTAATTTTATCATGTTCGCAACTGAACACGACAGCCCTTAGTGTACTGAAACTGATTATTATTAGCTAACTCATCAATTGTTTTAGAAGGCTATTTCTTAGTGTAGGGGTTGTTCAACTTCCAAAATAATTATTCCCTCGTAAGATTTTCAAGTGGTGAGTTTTGAGATTCAAAACTCGGGACGGAAAAGTAGATTTTTGGGGATCCAGTTTACCTTCTAGTTGACCAAGTCTGTAGTAATGGTAAAATCATATTCTTCAGTTGGCATATTTATCATTTTGTTACGTTGAAGTTACAATGATGAGTCAGAAGCAAACATAATGAAAACGACATCTTTTACCAACCATGTTCTAAAATTGTGATGTACTATGGGAGGGAAATACTTGGGTGGATATAAGCATGAATAGCAGTAACAATTAGTGGTCATACTCGTGCTTTCTCTCAATTTCCCAAAGTGATTTGTTCAAAAATAGGGGGGGGCGACATTGTTGTTGCTGAGTGAATAGATTCATGTAATACGTTGTTAGTCCACCTATGCGTAAAATCTTGGTACATTCAGGCAGCGGAGAGCTATATATTCGACAGCTTCCACAGCTTTTTCTATGAGAAGAGGTGGTTGAAGAGCTAAGTCGGTCTGCAAGGTACCGATGGAATCCTACAACAACGGTGATCATTTATTGCAATTTTGTCCTGAGAGCCAATTGTTTCAAGCATAAAGAGAGATCATCATCAACAAAGGACCAGGTACCACTGTGTTTGAGCAAAGTTGATGTACCTGCTCGGCACTCCTTTCAGGAAGAGACATTGCCTTAAAACCCCTCGATCAACACAGCCAAACACCACCTTCAGGTCGAGAAATACAGCTAGTATCAGGCATCGGTGAGTGTGTCTGTCTTCCAGAACCTGGCGGAGTGTGAATATTTGGTCGATACACCCTCAGCTAAGTCTAAAACCTGTCTAGTTTTCTCCAGGTTGCTATTTCCGAGCTCCACTCAGTCGCCTAATGACCACAGAATCCTAGACAATACGTTTGCTAGCCTCATTCCACTGTAGTTATCACACGAAGATATCTCACCTTCCTTGAAGACTGGGACCATCAGTGGTTGAGACCAATCAGAGGGAATCGTATCTGAATCCCACACACTAGTTAACTTGACGAAACATTCACTACCACTCTCCTCATATACCTCTGGAACTAGTCTACCTGGCTCCGCTGCCGTTCCTCGTTCTCGGTTTCCTACACTTTTCTCGACTTCTACAAGTGTTGGGGATCCTATCTTGATGTTTCTATTCCGGTGCCGACCGGATAGCGGCCAATGCAACGCAACATAATAGTAGCTGTAAGCCAGTTATACTGTTCCTCAAAGTCTTCTGTCTATCATTCCTGTCGTCTCTCCTGGGAGTGAATCGTAGACACATCCTTCTTCTTCATTGTCCCACTAAACATTGACCTTTTCGCTTCAGTTTTCTCAATAAGTCTAAATAACTGTCTACTGCTACCTATCACAGCTGTCTCTCCTATTTCTTTAGCCTTCGCTGCTCACCACCGTTCGTGGTCGTTGCGTAGACTTTCTGTCAGTCTACCTTCGAGCTGCAATTCCTATATTACTCGGGACATGTAGGGATGCTTCCGCTTGCTCCCATCAATTCACAAGAGGCTGCTGATATCCGCTGGCTCCTCTTAACCACTCTCTCAGAGTCGGCTAAGGTCTTCAAGGCTGCTTCCTCAGTAAACAAACTGGAGATGGCACCAAGCTTCTTCTGAATGCGTGGTAGTGTTCTGTTCCACTTTCTCACTGGAAGCGGCCGTAGTGCTCTCTTTGTTGGACTGTACTTGCGATGGTTTTGCTGCTAAGTCTTTCCTACATCCAGTGAGGCGGAGACATACATGCACTCGAACCAACGCGTGGTCGCTATCCAAACACGTGCTCTAGAAGGGGAGGCACACTTTCACCAACCGTCTCCACCAATGACTGATAGCAATGTGATCCATCGCTTAGTTGAGCTCGGTGGACAGACACTGTCTTTCTCCATGTCTGAAGTTTGTGCTGTCTAGAAATAGACGATTATCTGGTCACAGTTGTAGCAGGCGATCACTCATCCGTTCGTTGAGCCGGGATTCTGGAAGTGCCTGCCTGACTCATCCCACCCACTTGTGCATGGGAATCACCTGCAACAACCACCACATCTGATAGTTAGGCTTTTAAAAGGACTCTAGGCAGTTTTCGGTAGACATTTTAACTGCAGTCAGAGGGTTTCTGCGCGGAAATTATAAGGAGACAATGGGTTTCATTATCCTTTTTAGTTCTTGCCGTGCCGTTTAGCCGGATAGCGCTTAGGCGATTTTCATCTTTGATCCAGTCTAGTAGTGCGATTTCTGCCCTAGTGTTTAATGTTGTGGCAACATCGCCATGTATACGAAAACTGGCCATCGAATCTCCGGAAAGTCGAAGGGTGTTTGTGGATTCACCATATTGGTCGGGAGAGGTTAAGCAAATAACCGCACTTGAGTTCTGTACGCGTGTCTCACGGACACAGCAGGGATCCATTGCTCGAGTTTTGGCTAATTTGATGGGGAGGGAGGGGGGTGAGTGCGGACATTGAATGCTCCAATCTGTATTTCGAGCTTGGTTTAGGGAGACGAAAGATACTGTTTTTTGGACTCAGATCGTTGATGAGAGCTAGAAATTAAAGGTGATGTAGGATTGTTAACAGAGAGACGTTGAGGAAGATCAGAAGGTAAGGATGAGTGAGGTGTATGGTCTGAGAGGAACTTCAGAGCTGACGCAGTTGTGAGGGTGGCTGACACTTCGCGGCTGCCCACACTATGGAAGGCTAGGTCTTTTTGACGTACCTGAAAAAGAAGGCTTAGTGTGCAACCACAGAGCCTATGGGACATCTGCTTGGGGTCGGTCACGTGCGGCTTTTCCGATTCCATGAAGATTGACCTGTATTAAGTAGTAGTAGTCGGACATACATCCTGTGGTTTCGCATCACTACAAATCACTGATGACTGACCTAAGACACTATAAAACATCATCACTTTGTTTAATAACGTGCTAAGGTTAAGAACAACTGCTTTTGTTTAACCACTACCCAACAGACCTTTCTGGTATGACAAGACCTCGAGGGAACTAGCATCCTACCAGCATAGCTCGTTCGGCCATTGTGATATGCAAGTCCAGCCACTACTATCGGTCGTGATAAGGATGAGATACTGTCTCATAAGGTGTCTGCTGAAATCAGACCAACGATAAACGTAGACATCAGATTGCTATAGGCCATTGTTGGAGAGAGTCGGTGGAGGATTGCCATCTTTCTGGAGCATGTGTTTGGACTCTAATCATGCATTAGTACATGTATATCTGCTACTGACTGACTGCAGAAAACAGTAGTGAAGTCTGCATGTTCTCTTGAAAGATGAGAACATTAACTAAGCATTGAAAGAACATAGCTGCTAAGCATTCATCCGAATCTGAGCCATCCTCATCCTGATATGATATCCAGTCTGCTGTAGAAACAGCGGTACTCACGGTTAGTAATCATCCAAAGGTCAGCAAAAGACGGTAAATCTAGGCAACCTCATCCGCACTGATTGATGCGGATAGACTCACTCCGGCTGGATATGACCACAATGAGAAGCGAAAACAATCCAAAAATAAGTTGTCTACGGGTTTCCACAATGATCGGGAGTAGTGGTGGGTGGAGGAAGCCAGAGAGGCGGAGAAAGCATCAAAGTTAGGTAAGACCTGGTAACTACTTAAGATTATTAGGGATACTGGCAAGACGATGGTTAGTAAAAACAACACTGAAAAAGGAGGGGCTCAGGACGGGTGGCCAAAACGTTGAGTCCAATACTTCGAAGCACAATCCAACTGGCTCGAAGCAAAACCTGCTATCTAGGATCGAAACCGAATAGGATGTGCATGTTGGTCCTCTAAATCTCCTCGAAGTTAAGGAGGTTGTTTCAAACCTCAAACGGTGAAAAACAACAGGAACTAACATTTTGCTACCCGACGCTTTTAAGAATGGGTATCAGAGAAAATTGCTGATAACGGAGTGGCTAGGTAGAGTATGGGAATCAAAGGTAGTGGCATCAGACTGGTGTACCTCACTGATTATTCCAGTCTATAATAAGGGGGAAAAGTCTTTTTGTGACAACCACCTTGACTAATAACATGTCTAAAATACTTGGGTCGATAGTCTTTCGAAGCTTAAGTAGAGAAAACCAGACAGGTTCCAGATATGGACAGGGGTGTATCGATCAGATTCTCGCCTTTCGATAGGTTCTGGAACAGAGACATACCAGTGACCGACACTTACCGAATTTGTCGACCTGACTCTTTTGACTACGAAAGGAGCAATAATAAACCGCTAATTTAAGATCTGTTCTTGAATTTCCGCAGCTATGTTAAGGCTTACAGAGAGTTTTCATCTGAATTGACGAAAACTAGTATCCACTGTCATCATTCTTGCTTAGTTTCGTTACACTGATAGACAACTCTAGGTACCTCTGACTTCCCCCGACCGATAGCTGCTACCTTGACGTGGTGGTCGGGCTTGCATATCACAATGACCCAACGAGCTATGCTGGTGGAACGCTTGTTCCCTCGAGGTCCTACCATACCAGAAAGGTCTGTTGGGTAGTGGTTAGACGAAAAGCAGTTACCGTCATAGTGTAAATTGCT